GCACCAACTGGTTAATGGGTATGTTGTTTGGTTTTCTATCACCTACATTGTTTATATCTATATTTATATACACCTGCACCAACTATATCTATATTTTTATACACCTGCACCAACTGGTTAATGGGTATGTTGTTTGGTTTCCATCACCTACATTGTTTATATCTATATTTTTATACACCTGCACCAACTGGTTAATGGGTATGTTATTTGGTTTCCATCACCTATGTTGTTTATACCCAAACATATTTTGTGCTACCTATGTACATTAATTCAAATAAAAATGCTCCAAATAAGAAACGTTTATTGTTGACTGCCTCTAGTTTTTTGGGTATGATTTTTCCATTACTAGGCATTGATGCTTTAATATAAATTCCTCAAAAAATATTTTTTTATTCATTTTTATTTCGAAGTAAATTCATAAAGTCTGGAAAAAGTAATACTAAAAACTGATGTGTACATACATAAATTCAAGGGTGACCATGACTGCAAGAATCGCAGGATAGTAAGGCTGCTCCCACATCAGTATAGAATAAAATGGATGTAAAACCTTCTTCCATCCATCCAAATTGTACTTCAGGGTTTTCACCTGATCCTCTTCATCTGCAGACACCTGGAAATGAAATTTTTTAAAAAGTGACTTACCACTTATTACTGATAACTTACTACAAATCAGGTATCAGGGAGATAAAAAATTTGGTATATCCACGAGTGATTTTTGAGGAGTGACTATACACCAATCACAGCCATGTAAAGTGGTATTCCTTCATTTTTATGTTCCTTTACCTACCCATTTTTCAGGTATCAACTGTGACATTATTTTGATAATCAGAGCAAGGGCAGCTGTCTAAGGCCCCTCTCTATGCAGGACATGCAAAGATATTTTTGTGAACGAAGCTACAAAACCGTGTAGATGATCCATTAAAAAATGTGTTAAATTGTTCTATTGTACAATTTCTATCAAATTATTAACAGAAATAAATGAGAGGGCCCCAAACATTTTATCCTGCCTAGAGATCTTGAACGGCCAATACCAGCTCTGGACACATTAAGAGAAATTGGACGACACTGGATGACAACGAAGATCTTTGTCACAGTAACAGTGGTCATATGTAAATTAGTTTATCACTATTACACGGCTGAGGGTGAAATGCTTTTCAGGCAAATCACACGGCTGAAAATTGAAAAGTGGTGGGTGAAATCTGACATGAGAATTTTCATTTTCTGCTGATTGCTTTAGATGTGAACACATTTGTTTCTACAACATCTTGACACATTAATATTTACTGAGAGAATGATCTTATTAAGCTATTGTCCCAAGAAGTTAATTGTTATGAATATTGAGCCAGTCATATCTATTCATTAAAAGAAACTCTTAGGCAATGATACAATTAACTGGGAATTAAAAGTAAATGTTACAAAACCCACAAAGTTATTTAAACATGATCAAGATAAAAACATAATTACATTTTTTTTCCAAACCTTCTGTAATCATGAAGCAAGTGTGTAGTTTAGCTGATACTTGATTGTGCCAACGTCTCAGTCTATCATTCACCACTGTTCCCCAATAAGCCTTGGGGTGGACAATATCTCGGTCTATCATTCACCGCTGTTCCCCGATAGGCCTTGGGGTGGACAACATCTCGGTCTATCATTCACCACTGTTCCCCGATAGGCCTTGGGGTGGACAACATCTCGGTCTATCATTCACCACTGTTCCCCGATAGGCCTTGGGGTGGACAACATCTCAGTCTATCATTCATCGCTGTTCCCCGATAAGCCTTGGGGTGGACAACATCTCGGTCTATCATTCATTGCTGTTCCCCGATAGGCCTTGGGGTGGACAACATCTCAGTCTATCATTCACGGCTGTTCCCCGATAGGCCTTGGGGTGGACAACATCTCGGTCTATCATTCATCGCTGTTCCCCGATAAGCCTTGGGGTGGACAACGTCTCAGTCTATCATTCACCACTGTTCCCCAATAGGCCTTGGGGTGGAGCTAATATTTGTGATGCATGACAAAATATGACCAAGCTTCCACCAATATCAGTCATGGATTGAAAAGTGTACTCTTTATAGTGGTCAGTTTAAAAAGTCATGGATTGACAATGTGTACTCTTTATAGTGGTCAGTTTAAAAAGTCATGGATTGACAATGTGTACTCTTTATAGTGGTCAGTTTAAAAAGTCATGGATTGACAATGTGTACTCTTTATAGTGGTCAGTTTAAAAAGTCATGGATTGACAATGTGTACTCTTTATAGTGGTCAGTTTAAAAAGTCATGGATTGATAATGTGTACTCTTTATAGTGGTCAGTTTAAAAACGAACGCAGTTAATTGACAAGATCAATAATTTTTGGACCTAAAAATTCCTCTTGTATGCAGGTTTGTTAGGTGAAATTATACTTGAAATATCTGAGCTCCTGAAGATCGTAACTCTATGTACGTAAAGAGAACAGATGATTTGTGAATAGCCAATAGTTGTTTAGTGTTTAAATGTAATCTTGTCACTTGCTAGCAAAAAAAAAGCTGATGACTGATAATCCAGAATGCAAAGTTTCAGACTGGATATTACTTTAAACTTGGTTAGACCTTATAAGTGTTGTGTGTTATAATCAGAATTTGAAATTGTTGTATTACTAAGTAGATTTTGCGGTTATGCGTAAAACATTTTTTTCTCTTTAATTCATTTTCCTAACTTCTTTTATTAGCTTTTACAATTATTCTTTGTATAGTATAAAATATTCATTATTCTGTCATAATTACTCTTGTTCTGTTTAAAAAAAAAGAAAGAATGAAAAATCAATTGTCCAGTATTCTAAAGTCCAACAGTCGCAAAGTTCGGGTTTTCACAATACACGTAAAAATTGAATAAATAAAAAAATTCATAGGTCATAATAGATGAATTTTTCATTTGAGATATCGAGTGAAAAATTTAAAGAGTACATCTTGGTGGTGGTAGGGGTGGGTGAGGGACGGCTTGCTCTTGTTTTAAATACAAACAACATCATAATGTACAGCTCATTGCATTGGCTCGGTGTTAAGATAATTTTTCTGACTGGAAGATTTCAATGCGTTTAATGAGTCGGTGATATAACATTCATTGTCACAGCACTATGGAATAAGAAGCTTGAATGGCCATTCTTTCATAAGAGCTAGACTTCTAAATCCAATCCTGATGACTAAATGTACAGGATCTGCAGTTAACACTATACATGCAACCTTTTAGGTCATATCTTGGAATGTTTTTATCATAAAATTTCACAAATTTAACCAAACAATCAATTTAAGATTTTCAATGTTAAAAAAACAACAACGAACTTACATCTTCAGACTAAAGGGGTGTCATCATAACACGCAACAATTTGAAAGCATAATATATAGTTAACTTACATTAGTACTGCATGTAAAAATATTTTTAGTATTTAAGTGTGCATTTACTATACAACTGTAGTCGTAGTAATAATACTAATACTATTAACTATACTAATAGTAATGGAACAACTACAAATTTTTTATTGTCATTGAAACCGTAACTATATCATTTTACAGTATAGGACTTGTTAATGTCGTAACTTGTACTTTGTACGCTAACACCGAGTATTAGTATTACTATAATACATGATTATAAGTTATAATACTTGATCAGAGAGAATTAGGTTATTTCAAGGTAGTATTTGTCGCAGTAATGGGAGAAATAATAATAATACTTATTTATTTTTACCTGATCATCTAAATTACGACATAGATTGGTCTTATCAGAGTTATCTGTGGTGCTAACTTCTAGTTCGTCCGCCATCTTGTCTTGTGACTAGAGAGAGTAAAGGCCAATAGGTCAAATAATTATGTGATAATTTATATTATTAAGTTTATCTATATCCTAATCGAATAACTCACAATAACATTACAAATAATAAATATGGTTTTTATAAAAAAATTGTGAAGTAATTTGATATTTTAACATTTTATTTATCTACTATTTACGAGATTAAGTGAGGCAATCTGTGGCTGGTCTTAACCATTGCAGGTCTCTAGGTAGGATAAAAAGTGTGAGAGCCGCTCATAATTTTTCGGTAATAAAATAATTTGATGGAAATTGGACAATAGAATGGTGTGAAACATTTGCTAATGGATCATCCCGATGATTTTGTGGTTTTGCAGCTTCATCTTTAAGAATCATTCATAAAAATATCGTTGGATGTCCTCCATAGTAGGCGCCTTAGACAGCTACCATAAGGCTGGCTCTGACCATGAAAATAATGCTAAATTAATACCTGAAAAAAACAAACAACCAAAACAGATCAATGTTCTAATGAAGGACATCAAAGTTCTGTTTAAACTTGTTGTATGGTACCCTAAAAATAAATCACTTCATTAAACTTGTTGTAAACTTTGTAGTCCGGTATTCAGTCAAACCTTACACAGTTTAGATGGGGGGTCGACTTGTCGATAGTCATAAACCAACCTTTGTTTTGGGCTCCTCACGAAAAAATATAGCCTTTCTTTACTCAAATATTTAAGTACACAATAAAATGCGCATACAACACTGTCTACTTTCGGTTTCTGAATGAGCAACACTGATGAGTTCTTCTTCGTGTAGAAGTAGCCCTCATTGTCTTTAAAACATTCCTGATTTTTGGATGTGGTCGACATCTTGATCTTTGTAGTGAGACCAGACCTGTCAAGCTTCAAGCATTCTGCTTTATTCTCAACAGATAGTGATATCTTTCACATATTTTTAGGATCTGAAAAAAAAATGCATTCGGTAATTTTATTATTTGTGCAAAAGCTATCTTCCACATAGTGAAGCCCATTGTATCCTACAGATGGTGCTCTAACGCTCGAGCTGCCATTAGATAGAATAAAACGCCATTTTGATCATCTATACGAGTGAATAACATTGGTTACGGTGATGGCTAGCAAGTCAATTTGAACTCCCTATAGAAGGCAAAGAAAGCTCATGAGGCAGAAACAAGCAACACGTGTAATTGTGTTGGATGCTAGCAGAATTTTCATGACGACGAGGAACCCACTTGAAGTAAATATGTATACAGTAGAGACGGCTGATACCTACTTGAAGTATATATATATACAGTAGAGACGGCTGATACCTACTTGAAGTAAATATGTATACAGTAGAGACGGCTGATACACATTTGAAGTAAATATATATACAGTAAAGACGGCTGATACCCACTTGAAGTAAATATGTATACAGTAGAGACGGCTGATACCTACTTGAAGTATATATATATATATATTGTTACGTCTTCGTTCGTTAATTAATTTTCCGTAAATTCGGTCCGACGAAACTTTAGCGACACAAGGCCTTTCTTAAATAAAACTGGTTTATTCTTTCCGAATACAACTTTACGATACACTTAATTTCAACAGTCGCTCTATAACAAACGCTATAACTCACGTCTCACGTGGCCAACAATATTCTGTCCACATACATTCAATTACTCCCTACCTCTTCGCTTGGTGGCCGGTCTTATATATACAAAACTCCCCTATATCTAGTAACCGCTAGGGCATTTATGAAGATACA